TTGTCTGTTTGTCTTTTTATTTTTGGCCATGGTGTTTTCAGTTTGTTTTCGATCTATGAGTTTGACTGTCCCTCTGGTATCTTTCGTCCCTCTTTTATTATTAGTTGTCCAGTATACAATGATTCTGGGGAGAAATTTCAGATCTCTCAAGTGAGATAAAAAAAATTTCGGTTAATTACTCTACTCATACTAATTGTCTGTACTAAAATATTTAGGTGATACTATTATAAGATGTCTAGACGTAAGACGAAATATGAATACTGTAACATATACTTATTGACGATGATTATTGTAACTTTATTGCTGTGGTCCTATCCGGATTAAGATTTACACCTTAAATCATGTTTATCAGCAAGAGATTATTTAAAAGTAATATCTGTGGTTTATGATTATATAAACTTTTAATATTTCACCTCAATGTGGAAACGTTTTACAAAAATATAGTGTTCATATTTTGGTGTATGTGAATGTCATTCTTCCAAATTCTAACAAGTTATATATAAATTGTATTCAAGTCGCTCAGAGTGGATTTGTGGCAAATTTTTCTCCCCACCTTTGCTATTCTTTGTCATTTATTCAATTGATATGATTTTAGTTGATGTAATTTCGTATTAATTATGTATTATAGTTTCATATTAAGTATGAACTTATATGTCAAATGTTTTATTTGCAAAATGTATTTTTTGCATTTTATGATTATGAATAAATGACCTTTTTTCGTCAATTTAGTTTTTATATCATATAGCAAAACAAGCTCAGACTATGGCCTGTGTATACATAGTATATTTATGGTATCTAGCTGTCTGTCTTAAAACAAGCTGTATTTCTCGTTTCAACTTGGTAATATATACTGTCCATTAAGGTGATGCTGGGATACTGCCGCATCAAAATTGAAAGTTCACAGAGGGGAAATAAGTTTTATCTGTTTTTCTCATCTGACCCACACTGTTGTTTCTAGACAGCTAAGTCAAGGTATGTAGCAGACCTAGCTGAGTTTGTGATCATCCTTAATCGCAAGTTTATTGGGACGGAGTCGATTAAAAAAGTCAATAAACATTGAAATATTCAGTGAAAGGACATTAGCTATACAGTGGAACCTGAAATTAAATGAAAATAATAGCTAAGTTTCATTCTTTTTTATTTGTCATGTACAAAGTCTTTATAAAACGAATTAAGAATGAAGCGGGCGCATGATAAGAGGATTAAAGGAATACATTTGACTTCCATTGGAATTACTATCATAATAACAAGTTGTTGTCAAGGTATTTGTAGAGGCAATCCAATTTTATAGACTTGTGTAAAAGGCTTATAAGTAATGCATAAAAAGCTAATAAGTTACTTCAAAAACATCATCGCGTGAACATGGTAAGTAAGATTGACAATATTTTCTCTGATTGTTAAACATGACAATTACTAAAACTTAACTTCTATGAAATATACCGGAAATACATAGTGTGCATGTCAACAATGTCTTCTCGCCAATATAAAAAAAAACTTTGATCTAAAGTAAACTTCTGGATGCTATATGAAAATCGAATATTCGATATAAAGAAAATTAACCCCTTTCTTTCAACCAATTTAAAAGCTGGTTCTGATCTTGTAAACAAAGAGATTAAAGAGAGGAAACAGTCTGATTGGAACAGTCAAATGAAAATAAAGTATTCTCATTTTATCAGGATCTTACCATGTTATTGATACACGACATATGTTCATAAATAATATGGTTAATTTCAAGGTTTTATTTCCAGTACAGTTGTTCCTAAGTCAGTGTTTACGTCCACTTGTTATTTGTTTACTAAGTTTATAGTTCTTCTAAGTTTTGACCTTCGAGGCACGCTGGTGGTAAATAAATTTTCATAATGCACACACATTGTACATCAAATTGAAAATGAAGTCTGTTATCATTCTTTTTTAAAATTTGAGTCGTCGATTATTACTTATTAGTTTAACCTTGTATATTTTTAACCGATTTTATGATATTTTATACAATGAGCTAAGATGATTAATGAGGAGATGAATATTATCAAAATATTTTACGTAATATTGTGAACATGTAATTCGTGAAACCCATGTGATGCTGAGCGATTTCACTACATGAAGAAAGGGGTAAATTTTATTCAACAAGGGACTGCATTGCGTTACAAAGTTTTCTTGAATACAGTTGTTGTTCTGTAGTTTTGTTCGTTGGTATTTATCAAAAATTTATTCTTATCCTTGACATTTTCCTTGGAAATTGGAACATTATAATATGCATTTTAGATTATCTGTTTTAAAGTAAAATTTAAAGTAATATCTTGTAAAATAGAAAAATGAATTGCAATTGTTATGTATAAAATTTGGTTGCTAGGCAGCAACAACAATGATTTTGCAAGATAATGTGCATTACATTTTGTGTTATTTGAACAGTAAATACATGTATAAATTTCCTGTTAAACAAATTGAATCTGAAATATAAATATATTTAAAGCTGTATACTTGGCATATTCATTGAGCTCATCACCGCCATTATACTCGTTTCTAGGAAACAAAATATACAAGAGAGACCTAAAATGCGACCATTTTCAGATGGTCTGTGGTATAGGTTGCACTTTGTAAATACAGCTGTTTCTCAAACCGCGCCTCTTTTGGGGAGATATAGAATATTCATAGATAATTAATTTTGTTTACAAACTGGATCCCAGTTATGATCTCTATGTTTCATCTCATAGAGACATAACTTGGAAATGTTACCAGTAAATATACATATGCATATTGTTTATATTGAAATCTGTGGTAATCCTACTGTTAAGGTAGGGGTAGTTAAGAAATTTAGTGTTAGTTTAAACTCTTAGAAGTTCGGGGCATATAAACGTTGAAAATATGCCTCACAGCCCTATATTTTGACCTTTGAAAAAAATAGTAGTGCATATGAACTTTCCATTCTAGGATATGATTTTGTTCAAAACTTCATAGTAAAAGTGGTACAGTTTTAGCTGTAAAAGGAGTTCCTATGGGAAATTGCAATGTCAATATTTACAGAAATGCAACCTATAGAGTTACAAGAGGACAATGAAAATGGAATTTAGTGGTGGAGTCCTTATCGCCCCTCTCCTTTGCAAATCATGATCAAAGATAGGTAGTTAGGATTTCCGTTTCAATGAAACCAAATTTGGCCCGTTTTAAAACCCCCACTGTAAGTCATTCCTACCCTCGGTTTGTTGGAATGGTCAAGTAGTTTTTAAGAAGAAGTGCACATTTCTTGAAGGTTTAAATAGAAATGCTTGTGCCAGCAAGGCCACCATGTTTGTCAAACGATCAACATTGAATGAAGATCGCAGAATTGTTACTTGTAATGAGTAAAACCACACTTGCTTCCAGTTGAGCAGGAATAGCTTACCCTTCCGATGCACCTGAGTTCGATCCTGGTGTTTTGCGAGGTTCGTATTGCTCAATCTTGAGTTTTTTATGAAGTGTTTAGAATTCTGTTGTTTGCCTTTTCGTTGTTTTTTTTATTTAAGCCATGGTGCTTTCTCTCTCAAAGAAATAAAAACAAGTGTCTTGTCTTGTTTCAGATTCCTTTGTTTTATTCTTCTTCAAGGCTAAAGATAGTTTCAGTAATTTTCTCGTTTCAGATTCCATTTTCTTACTCTTTTTATTCTTTAACATTGTTTCAGTCATTTTCGAAATTTGCAGTACTAGAAAAACCAAATATGTGTATCAAATGAAATATCTGAGTAATGAGACAATGTTGCAGATAATATAATTTGCTGAGTACCCTGTTATACTATATATTATGTTAAAATTTGAAGTTCACTGTTTCATTTAAGGAATAATTACCTTTTCTTTGATACATTATCACAGTAAACATAGGCATTTTATGTTATTTTATAGGCATATTACCGTTAAATCATTCAAGAAAATGCACTACAAAAAGAGATGTCGTCACATCGTCCACTTACATAAATATCTGCCAGATCTTAATGACAGATTAACAATTTTGGATCTTGAAAATGCATCCGTTAATCTCTTGCAGTTTTAGTTGTCTTCAATGTCTGAACAACTCAAATCTGGCCTTTCGCGAAATATCAATATAGACATTATTTTGGTGTTTGATTGAAATTTCGAAGATTTGAATTGATAACCAATCAGACAATAGTTTTCAACAGTAATAAAGGCATACAAATATGTAAAATGAACTTAATGAGTAAGAATAAACATTTGACTTAATCTTAAATTAGGGATCACAAAGACACAATCTGAATAAAATTAACGGTTTTCAAAAGCTCTCATGACAGCGCATCAACTCTACAATGGCTACCTTTTATTAATGACAAACATCAATAATCTTAATTTCGAAAAGTAGAAATCTATCTATGGATAGATTGTTTTAAATCGTTTAGGCTAATGGTCTAATATCCTATCACACTATAAAATCTGCACTATAATACATTAAATGTTTTAATAGGTGAATTTACATTAATATAGTCTTAAAATACATTATATCTGTGTATGGCCACCGGAAATTGGGTACCAACGATGCTGAGTGCAAAGACGAAAAAAAAATAAATTAATTTTCTTTCAACTATTTCTGTCGATTTGATGAGATTTAAACTTATCATAGGATTTTCTTATCTATTCTGCTTTCAGGTACAAGGTGAACAGTTTTTTAGAGTTACGTTTCATCCACGAGAACTTGTTAGTATTAAACAAATTTTTATCTTTTTTGGTACTTATTGGCAAATAATAAAACAGCGTACAGAAGAAACTAATACCATCAGCATTAAACCTCACCAAATCGGTGAAATGGTTTAAACAAAGACTTTTTTATCGTCCTTCCTCTACACTTCGATGAGCTAATGCTTCGATAGTATCCAATATCCGGTGCTGATGATACACAGTGTTTGTTTTTTTTTAAATATCAGAAATAAAAAGGTACTTGGATTCTAATAAAAATTGAATAATATGTCTGCTTTCTAGTGTCCCATGAACCTGAGAGAGCCTCCTGTGAATCAGTCTCAATTTCATAGTGTCCCATGAACCCGAGAGAGCCTCCTGTGAATCAGTCTCAATTTCATAGTGTCCCATGAACCCGAGAGAGCCTCCTGTGAATCAGTCTCAATTTCATAGTGTTTATTAGTATATCAATTAAAAAGATGTTGTATGATTGTCAGTAAGACAGCTAAAGAATGAGAATGTAAGCAAGTAAGGGTTACCATACCGTCTTCAATAATGAATAAAAACCATACTGTATAGTAAGCTATAAAATTTCCCAGATATTATAAAATTTGAAACAAATAAATTAGAAGACAAACGGTCTGCTTTATAGACAAAACAACAAATCAAAAACAAGGCATATAAAAAATGTGACGGGGTTAAACATTTTTGCCAGTGCTCACCCGTACCCCTTAATCTCGGACAGTGGCGTAACAGCACAATATAAGAACAAATTGTAAAAATAAGAGGAAAAGGGCTGGAGTCATCAGATCCACACAAAGCACAAAAACAAAAAGATTAAAAACACAAAGTGTACTCCCGTTCGCTGAAAGCTAGTACAAAACAAATTTTAAATAATAAATAAATCATGTTTTCCAGACTAAAATATCAATCATTACACATCCAAACGATAGTCCTCCAATTTACTGAAAGTTGGTCAAAGCCTATTACCACTAATGAATAAATCATGCTTCCCAGACTGAAATATCGATAAGTAAACAAGCAACGGATTTAGTGTAAAAGCATCATAAACATTCTGAGGAAGGCATGACATTGTGCAATGCCAAAATATAAGTATTGACAGGATGTAAGACCGTAAGTGTTCATAATTACATAGCAAAACAAATTTAGTTGTGTTTTAATTTATTTTAATAAGACAATCAATGTAAGTAGCGATAAACACAAAATTAAAAGACCTTATTAAAGTGTTAAATTGATAACCTTTAAGAATAAGGTTATTCAAAGGATCGGCCAGTTTTACATGGATCGTATCTAAACTTACGAGCTCTTTAAACAACATAACCGTTCAATTAGGATGTGATATCCCGTTTGAATAAGATTTCCACATGTATTTAGCAAAACTTCCAAACAAAATCTTTGTATCTTTGAAAGAATTTGATAAAGTATTAGTTGGTATACATGTGTCTTTTGAAATGTTCGATGATTTATTGACAACAACTTGTCCAGGTAATAAGTAATTCGCAGCCTTGTTATTGAAGCACCAAAAAATCAAACGAATTATAGTCGTTCTAATGTTTTCGATTCATTGACAACAAGTTGTCCAGGTAATAAGTAATTCGCAGCCTTGTTATTGAAGCACCAAAAATCAAACGAATTATAGTCGTTCTAATGTTTTCGATTTTCACTAGAAATATTTATTATTTTTCTTACAGATGTTTTTCCAAGCTTATCATCGACTCTAGCAATTATTTTTTGCCCAAGATAATCCAGAACTTATTTGTTAGTTTGTTTTGTACGAGGAGGTTAAAGAGTACAAAACGGACGGTTGAAAAACTCCAAACTTTCTTAGAATAGAGCTTGGTAAAATTTGATAATGTTCACAGATTCGGGAATAAAGGATCGTGAAAGGTGTTTACCCGATAGTTGTACTTTTCATCAATCATATCGAGCTATGACATGTACTTTTCCAAACTTTCCGCTTAAAAGGGAAAATATGAGTTTGTCTTTGATCTTCCCTCGGAGATAGAAAACAAATGAAAAGAACTGTACCCAGTGATTAAAGAAGCAAGAAGAGAAGGAATCAAAGATAAAATGGTGGTTTCATCAACGGTAGGCCCTATATCGCCATTGTAACAACTCCACCAACCAGACATAAAACGGCGAAGACATATAGGGATGCACTATTAAAGCCTCCTGCACCATCTAAACAATGCAAAGTGAATGCCACCAGCGTAGCCAAAATCATACAAACGTAAGCGAAGAAGAGATTCCCGCGATATCCACGATAACGAATCTTTTGAAACACTGACAACAAAGTTATAGGATAAAACGAGAGGATCATCCCAAATCGAACGTCATATAAATACTATATAGAACACTCTATGTGTAAATTGCTGTTTACTAAAATCACCTAACTACCAAAAATGACACTGGATGTTTCACTAAAAAAGGTGATTTAGACCGGCCTTAATAAAGTTACCGGCGAAATCGAATATTCTCTTAAATGCAGTTCTAATTGTTTTAATTATTCTGTATGCAGATGACATTGCGAATTTGGCTGAATCAGAAAAAATCAAAAAACTTCCTTTCACAAATTTAAAAAGCTTTTCATTACCTGAAAACAAAGAGTAAATTAAAAAAAAAATACACGGATGGAGTATGCCAGTATCCATGGGAACCACGCACTGCCAACAACATGCACAACATGGAAATGGTACAATTCAATAAAATAGTCAAATCTATTTTACTTTACGGCTATGTAGTATGAGGGTTTGAGAATAACTACATGCTAGAAAAAAGTTCAAAAAATGCATCCACTAGTAGCTCAGACAAAACCTTTCTGTTATGTTACTTAAGCATACAGAATTAGAATGGCCAATCATAACATAAGCTACCAATTGATTGTGGAAGATGATCGAAAATTCCAGAGGATCCAGAATTTGTCAAATGTGCAATACTAATAGTATTGGGGAAGAGTATCACTACATTCTTGAATGTCGATTGTCACTGCTGATGTGAGAGCGTGTATTGATATGAAATATATTAACCATTGTAATGCATTGAATTTTAGGGACCTTAAATCAAAACTGAGAAAACTTTGTTAATTCATAAGAATTGTAAATGAAAGGGTGGGTTCTCTTGGTCAAGAACTACAAATTTGACATTTACTTGTAACCTCTAATTGTATATTGAAATTTGTGATTTGTTTTTTTATACCATCTTTCATCTATCTATTTTCATTATTATTTACCAACAACCTTACCATCACATATAGCTTTGTGTTGTTGTATTTATCATGTTTTGTTATATATAAAAATAAGAAGATGTGGTATTATTGCCAATGAGACAACTATCCACTAGAGACTAACATGACGTAAAAGTTAACAACTATAGGCCACCGTACGGCCTTCAACAATGAGCAAAACCCATATCTCATAGTAATCTATAAAAGGCCCCGATATTACAAATGTAAAACACTTCAAACGAAAAAACTAATGGCCTGATTTATGTACAAAACAAGCGAAAAGCAAATATGAAATAGTATTACAGCAACAAACGACAACCACTGAATGACTATTCACCCCTTACAGCACTCTTCTACTTAACTACCTTTGAAATAATCAAAACTAATTACGAGATACGGGTTTGCAATTTAACAGGCAATTTGAACAAAGACACTTCAATGGAACGACATAAAGGATGAATTTATATATGTCATATATGTAAGAGATTAGTTTATTTCATTAGGAGACAGGTTACCAGCGGAAACATGGATACATTGATTTCAGGTATAAACTAATAAAAGATTTCACGTTAATAATAGGTAGTCGATGTACAATACTACTATATTGAAAGACAGAAAACGTCATAAACGTCATAAACGCAACATTTTAGTGGCTGAAGGTACTTCCTTCATTAGACAGTTTCCGTTCAGCTTAATGTTATATTATAACATCAAGTTTATAGAAGTCTCGTAATAATTTTAATTCATGATTTCTATTCGACAAAAACTCCTTACAATGATTACGCTGTAAATATAGAATTAGACTTCAACCAGATTACAGATCAATTGCATATTTTGAACGCAGCATTTATTATTCATGCTTTATTGCTTAATTCTTATTAAAAAAAAATTGTGTTGCCTGATCTGAGAATCAATATTGCATCATTGTTGCTCAAATAAGTTATCAAATATATGTTTTTCTTCAAATGAAAAATTTTGATGTTATTTTATTTTCGATATTTTTCATAATAATTTTCAATATCTAATATTTTAATTAAACTGTTAACTGTACAAGTTATCTTTTATACATGATATAAAAATGAAGAGCTGTGGTACGATTGCAATGAGCAAACCCATACCGTATATTAAGATATAAAGACTCCGACATGACAACACGTATATACGTAAAACAACTCAAACGAGAAAAGCAACGGCCTTATTTATGATAAAACAACAAACGAAAAACACACACTAATATTACACACAGAACCCAACGACAACCACTAAGTTACAGGCTCCTGACTTGGGACAGGCAAATACAGGATGAGTTGGGGTTAAACAAGTTTGTGCGCGCTCAACCTGCCCCTAACTTGTGACAGTAGTGTAACAGCACAACATAAGAACAAATCAGTTGAAAAGGGCCTTACTTATCAAATTGATAGTTGAACTTTATGAGTTTGGTCGACAATGAGTGACATTTAATAACAGCTGATAATTCATAATAGTATAGACAGTTTTTATAGTTATTAAATGTTGTAAATGTCAGCCCACTCTTGCCCAAAAACGATACTTAAACTATAATTGTTTAACAAAATTTGTGTGATATGACTCTGAACTTAAGCCGTAAGTTGCTTTGCTCAGAACTTAGCTAAAACCATACTACTTAAGCCGAGTAAATGTAATTCGGCAGTTTATTTTTCAGAAAATATTCAGGTATTGGACAATTTGTGTAAATTTATCATAATTATTAATTATTAATTAATTATTATTATAATACATTAGTTCGTTCTCCATGTTGATCATTAATCCCCAATCTTTTTATGTTTGGTTGTATAAATCTGTCATGCGCAGAATCTGTATGTTATTTTATGTAAAAATATCTTTCTGTATAGCATTACGATGGTTTTATAAGAAATGAAGAATCTTAAAATCTTGATTAAAACATGCAAAATGACAGAAATGTTAATTATCTTTCTTAATCAGCGATCACTTGAGTTAAATCATCCTAAAACGAAGAGAATTCTTTCAAAACATTAATAATTTAGAGCCTTAGTCTGAGAGGCTATTATTCGGCCTTTCGCTGCATTGATAATGACAAATATACTTTTAGGTGAAAAAAAAAATGTTGGTATCTTGATTTCACCCTCTTCGAAATTAAGGGAATTAAACATGATTAAATAACAGTATACAAAAGACAACATAGAAAACTAAAGACTGAAAAATGTATGCGTTTCTCATTGGTTTGTTAAAGACGGCATTTTCACCTTAAAAGAATATGAATTACAAAAACATTTTCAGAGTATTAATTTGAATCTAATAAAAACAAGATTTTAAGTTCCATCTTTCATGTTCACCCATCTAAAGTTGTGCACTTAGTCTACAGAAATCGTTTAATAACTAAATAACAACTGAAAAAAAAAAACAACTCGAAATTTTCATTACTTGATTTTTCAAGCACACTGTGCATTTAGATATAAATATAAGAAATTTTACAGTTAATAAAAAGGTTTCTTATAATACATTTTCTATTATAGAGTTAAAAAGAACTTACGTTATAAGGCAACCAACAGATTACAAACACAGATGCTAGTAAACCAACAATCGCTGCAAACTTTATCTCCGTTGATCTGTTAATTTGTTGGTTGGTACGACCTTTCTGTGCTTCTATAGTACGATGTCTGAGCCGTAGAACGGCTGCTGCCACTAAACTGTTAAATGAAATTATGCTCAAAACTATCAGAAATCCTAGACTGGTGTAGCTGATGTGGAAAATCTTTTTTGTTAAATTCTCCTGGTAGGTAAAGACACTGCAGGTGTACGACAGTTTGCCTCGTCTGTATCGTGGAGTCCATAGTGAACCAAAACCAAGATGTGGTAGAGCACAAATAACGGATAGAAATACGATCACCAACAATACACAAAGCATCCAAAACTTCTTTGATACATTCGTACGGTAGAAGAAGGGCTTACAGAAAGCCAAAAATCTATCTATAGCCATCAAAAGACTAATGGATCCAGTCAAAAGTGGCATAATGGGATGCAGAAACGACTTGACTGCACATAACTCGTAAGTCATGGACAATCCCATACGTCTGCTTGTGTGCCAAAAACATGATAGACACACTGCTACAAAATCTGTCGTACAAAGGGCAAGCAGCAGAACGTTTGTTTTAACTTTTGTCTTTCGCAATTCCGATAGCAGTAGGATAATGGAAATGAAATTCGTGACGATTCCGGGAACGTAAATCAGGAAAACAGATAGATAGAATGAATCATCTGTTTTGCCGGATCCACTAATACTACTACTAGGTATTAGGGCAATATTGGCAGTAATATTATCAGCAATTATAGACAAATTCTCCATTTTCTCAGCTGAAATCAGGACACAATTGATAACAACGATGTATTTTTCTATGTTAGCAATCAGGAATATGCCAAGGAAGATTTGAACGTTCCATTATAAGCTTAAGAGAATTGAAGTGCTTGTCATTCATTAGCTGTTTAATTCAACCAATCACATGCTAAGCTGTTAATAAAACGTGATAAAAACCGAATTAATTAAGTTCCATATTAGATATATTTTACAACTGTTGACTAGAAAAAAGCCCCAATGTTAAGTATACAAGGTAGTGCAACGAACACTCGAGAACTGAATTATTGTCTTTTAAGATCGGAGTATTGGGTATTCTCAAACGTGATATTTACAAAATTGGCTAATAATTTCTTTCTAAAGGATTTATTATACACCAGTGATATAAAATAAATAAAAACAAACAAACATGTTTACATAATTGTTCCCTACAATAAATACATATTAATACATAGTCTTTTCTATTTCGGCCGTGTTATCAACCTGAGGCCTTGTATTAATCTGTTCTAGATTCCAGGTAAGAAGAATATGGCAAGCCGTTCTCGTCAAAACTATGTTTAAACCATTTTTCGAAAAATTAACACACTGAGAGTTTAAAAAAACACAGTGAGATTAAAAAACCTAAAAACACACTCTGAGAATTAAAAATTACACACTGAAAATTGAAAATTACACACTGAGAATTGAAAGTTACACAATGAGATTTCAAAAAGACACACTGAGAATGAATAAAATGAAAAACACACACTGAGAATTTGAAACTACACACTGAGAATTTAAAATTACACACTGAGATTTGTGCGCACTTTTTATGCGCACATATCTAATTAGCATACTTAATTTGAATCTATTACAAGCTAAAACAACTTGGGGACAGAACTCGTTAGACCTTCAATTTGGCGCTAAATGTTTTATAAAAAACATTAAAAATACAACGTATAGAAAAACTACGGTATTAAAGACCAATAGAACAAGAAAAATACCCACTTACTCTCATTACAAAATATAACCAAATATATAAGAACACATTGGAATAATCTGCAAAAATACAAACAATGCAGTGAATTTTTTTCCCAAGTGCCTATTATAGCATATAAACGTAACAAAAATATAAAAGATTACCTTGCGAAATCAGGGTAACAATTGAAAGATTTTTGAAAAGGGACCATGCTTAAACAGTTTAAGCAAAACATCTCGATATACTGTTAGTAATAATCTGAATTATAGGCAACAAACTTATGAAAATAAGTTTTGAAATTTATTACGAATGTTGGTTGTAGGAACCGCATTTCATTATAATGACAAGAGTTCGGGAGACCAAGATATTAATCTGTTGAATTATTCATCTCATGAATATTCATTAGTAATTTGCATATTAATCTCAGTGTGTATTTTTGAAATCTCATTGTGTAATTAACAATTCTCAGTGTGTGTATTTCAATTTATTTCATCTCAGTGTGTCTTTTTAAAATCTCAGTGTGTAATTTTAAATTCTCAGTGAGTGTTTTTCATTTTTTTAAATCTCAGTGTGCAATTTTAAAATCTCAGTCAGTGTGTAATTTTGATTTTTCAGTGTGTTATTTTAGGTTCTTAAATCTCAGTGTGATTTTTTTAATTCTCACGATGAAATGGTTTAAACATAGTTTTGACGAGAACGGCTTGCCATAGAAGAACACCAAAATGATATATCAGTTCGGCTCCGGGCGTTTGTTCTTTTTGACAGTATATATGCGTTTTTAATGGGCATTTGCACTTCATGATTTAGGACAGTTACGCTTTTTCTACAAGACTTTTTCGCTATTTGAGCTTCTAAAAAATGGTGTTTTGGACTTGGATCCAATAGGTTTGACCTAGAAGAGTGTTTCCTTTGCGCTTTTGAAATGGACATTTGCGCTTCAATTTTAGGACATTTGCACTTAAAAAAGGACATTTGCGCTTTTTCTACAGAACTTTTGCTCTTTTTCTACATAATATTTGAGTTTTGGTGTTTGGAATTTGGGACCAACAGGTCTGACATAGGGGTTGTATCCTTTCGTGTTACATATAGAAAGTATAGAACAGTATATAACGCGGTTAACAAAGAATAGGAATTCCTCGCCCAATTTCAGTTGGAAACGTTCCAATGTTTGTCATGCCATTGTACAATTTATCGATCTCCGGTTGCAGAGTTCATAGCTGTTCCAGAAATGCTCTACTTTTAATATGACGCTTAGTTTGTGGTAAAAAAACATAACACTTTTGCATGCAAATATCACTGCAAATAGTGTTATCCTCATAAAAATTAACATTTCTCATTAACATTTCTCATGTCGAAAAATCATAAAAGGTAATTTTGATTTTGTTTAGAGGCAAAAATACGCGAAAAAGGTATTGCAGAATATTCAGTGAAGAGTTATGAAGTATTGCAAATCGGTATCATTAATCAAGAATAATACAAACAGTGGTAAACCAATCTTATATGACGTCAGTTGTGAAGACAATATTGACACAATGAAGATTTCTTTCTAAAATAGTTTTATCAAATAGATATAAGAAGATGTGGTATGAGTGCCAATGAGACAACTCTCCATCCAAATGTTTTTTTTAGAGAAAGTGTATCTATACCTGGTTTGTTTCTGTTTCATAAAATAACTGGAGACAACAATGACATATTATTTAATACGAGGCAGGTATATATATTTGCGTTTTAATGACATGAAAATATTAGGGGGTCACCGTGAACATTGACGGGGTGCTTTTTATACCTTGATATTACAACTTCTTGCTGTAAACTTCATACCAAAATTGATGATAAATGGGATGACCTTTTCCTTTCCTACTGTTAATTTTCATTAAATTGATGGTGTTGTTACGATCTTTCTTGTTGAGTGTACATTTCTCATCGATTTGATATGCGCGTGTTTTCATTGACGTCTCAGATTTCACTAAACTTAATATTGTCATTACTAAAAACTTTCATATAATGGTTATCAATGGTATGGTTCTTTCTGCAGGAATGTAATAAAAGATGGTATTTAACAGCCAGCTTTTAACGGTAACATAATTACAAAGCTAACAAATTTAAAAACTGTATTCAAATCATTCGTTTGGCTTGATATACATATTTATCAAGGTAATACTCATACTGTTGTTGTTCTGAATCAATCAGTTTGTCTGGTGTTTTTTTGGGGAATGAACATCAATTCGCTAATTTATAGTTTGAACCAAGCCTAAAATGTTTCTTTCTGTTTTTCTGCATTGAGATTCTGTAAAGCATTGCACAAAATCGTGTATTACTGTATTTTTTCATTTCTGAAAGGGGGACAAGGGGATTAATTTGGTGTTGATGTCGGATCTTGACTCGTAAATTGATACACAACTTTTCAAGGCTCGGAGAGGGTGACAAATTGTTAAACAATTGTGTAATGTTACAGACCGTATGCTGATCCCTGGTTATGTATGGAATTTGTTTGTCATTAACCTGTTTCATAGAAATATACCCCACATCTCTTCATTCATATGCCCACATCTCTTCATTCATATGCCCATATCTCTTCATTCATATGCCCACATCTCTTCATTTATATGCCACATCTCTTCTTTTATATGCTCACATCTCTTCATTTATATGCCCACATCTCTTCATTTATATGCCCACATCTCTTCATTTATATGCCCACATCTCTTCATTTATATGCCACATCTCTTCATTTTTATGCCCACATCCAGGGGCGGATCCAGGATTTTGGAAAGGGGGGGCGTAGTAATTAAAGTTCGCCGAGCGGAGCGAGGCGAACATTTTTTTAGACCTTTTTTGGGGCTAAAAAACATAAAATAAGTGTAAAATGCACATTTTTAACGGTTCCTGACGTGAGCATGTATATTTTATAAATAAAGTGTAAGCTAGGGTTGGACATTTTTGATGCCGCATTCTCCCCATTAATTGTCTATTATAAAATGACTGAATGGATCCAAAGCTATGTACAACGAATATATTTGATGTGGGATTTGTCAGTAAAAAATGGACATGGAAAATTCTCGTTTGTTGTATGGTTAGTTAGCATAACCTCACAGATTTCTTTTTGTAAACATGTATGATGATATGCGGCTATTCAATGAAGTTTATAATACGACCGACACGAACAAAGACAAACAAGCATTTTTTATCCAAATGTTTGGTTGAAATGTTTCACCCAACAAGGGAAGTGAGAGGTCCCAAATCAACCAAAGGCTACGAATGAGTCTGAAAATCAAATGACAACGAAGTTGTGAATGACGGTCGACAAATGGAGACAGGCCACACCCAGCAGGCAGGTTGCAGTTGGGCCTTGAAAAAAGTATTCAGTATATCAGTTCGGCGAAACAGACATTTCGGTCAGATATGGGATTTACATGCAAACCCCCAAAAAAATTTACGCCCGTTTTTTTATTCACCATGTTCATTTAATGCTGAATAATTCTGTTGGATTTTTTTTTCTGATAGCAAAAAGGGGACACGAGAATTGTTTTCAATACAGATACGGCCAGGATTTTGGTTTAAGGCAAAAATCAGGGTCAGAATTTTTTCTCTAAAATATCTCCGACTGCCCTATCAAATCAAATGGTCCGTACCTTAGACTTTAAATCTATCTAGAGCTTACTGACTGGGGATCACTATTCAGCAATGTTATTAATTGGCTGGGGCGTCTGGGGTTCAACATATTTTTGTAGGTAAATAATATTGCTGTGGAACTTTTTTTTATGAGAGTGTAATAGAGTATTACTTTCTGTTGAGTGGAATTGTGAAATAGAATTCAATACGTGGTTCTTGTTCAATCCTTTGTCGCTTTGAAAGAGTCATGCTTGTCATCCTCCGCCGAAAGCAATGTGTTACTGTAATTTAAATTTCAAAATGACTGAGTGACGTTTTTTTCGACGTACTGATCAACTCCACCGTAGCGAATCACATGACTTTGACATAATCAATAATATATTACAGTAAATACGAGCGAAAAATATCTTTATAAGTAAAGAATTGTCGCATAAAAATTAAATACACGGCCGGGTAATGGCAAAGTTCACGAAGTCTA